AACCGCACGTTTCCGTGAACAAACAAAACAACCCTAAAAATGTCTTGTTTCCGCCCCGGATCCACGTTCCTTTCTAAATACTACATTATATACTACCCCTCCACCTAAATCCTATCTACATAAAATGCTATACAACATACTGGCATACAGCCCATACAAGTGCGGTACACAGGTCATATAGGTAACATTTATGTACCTACACAATTGGTATTTCGTCGCGTGTCGTCGTGCCCGGTGATACTCATCGTTTGCGCACAATACACAATTTTTTACCTGKAAACTGATCTACTCGTTTGCGTACATAGGAAAACGTRAAAATCCAGCTAATACAAATTTTGACCAGAAAAATGACGACTCGTTTGCGTGCAATTATTAAATTAGACTTATATTGTAACGTGCAGTGCAAAATTCGATAAGGTACACGTAAAATAGCCACAAAATATTATAGCGATTAATCAGTTAGATTAACGGCAAAGAAGYATTACATTACAATTAATAAGATAGTAAATATACAAACATAACATTTATATAATAATGAGACAAATTTAATTTAAATCAAATTAACGAAAAAAATCACGCCTGTTGTTTACGGACAGTCCTGTCAGTCCTTATTGTAAAAGTGACAAATATAATCTTAAACATTATTTGTATTAGTTATTTTTCCGGATTTTAGTTGACTTTTGCTATAATAGTTTATACTTTATGTACACAAACGAGTCCTACGTTTTGGGTCATTTATCGGAGGTAATGAAAATTCGTGCGCTCAATTGAGTTGTACATTTGTACGCAAAAACGGATATCGCCCGTCGTGCTCATCATCGTTATCATATTACGGGCGCTTGTAAATTGCGCCCACATTAAGTAGGTAGTAAAAATACTATAGTAAATTGCGCCCGGGATTTTTCGGGGTCTAAAACGGGCATAGTAAATTGCGCCCATGATATCTATCTTGAATTCATCGTTACCTATTTTAAAAATACTGTTGTTCATTTATTGGTGGATAAGCCGAACGTTAGGTTAGTTAGTGCTGAATATGTGAATATTATGTCTCATTACTATATTATGCAGATAACTTATAACTGTATTTTTTATTATTAACATTTTTAACCTGACAAAATATATTTAAACAACTATAATTAATACCATAATATTTAAAAAAATAAAAATAATTTTTCTATTTTTATTAATTCCTATTTTTTTTAATTTTTTTTATATTTATTCATTTCAAGTAGATAAGCCAAAAAAAAAAATTTTTGGAGGACAGTGATAGTCACCTCCTCGTGGTGTCCTCTGGGTAATGCTAAATGACTATCATAAAAATAATACTTCTGTTGGGCGCAATTTACAATACAGAAATTTGTACCTGAAAAATACCGGGCGCAATTTACAACTATTTCCTTTCGTTGGGCGCAATTTACAACTATTTCCTTTCGTTGGGCGCAATTTACAACTATTTCCTTTCGTTGGGCGCAATTTACGTTTGCCCCATATTACAATATATTACATCCTACCTGCGCACGATGGTTATACCTACCGCTCGTCGTTCGCTCACGTTGCCTACGTATTATAATAATAGTTCGTTACACGGTCGTCTGACTTTGGATTTCAAATGGACACACACACGCACACACGACTCAGGCGTGTGGGTATAATATAATATAATGCGTGTGCCGTGATGACGTGCTCTCTCATGCGTGTGTAAAACATTGTATAATATTTTTATGATTACGATTTGCCTACCGTTGTTGTGCGCTGTTTGATGTTCACTGGACGAAAACGCGAATGSCGCGGCGAACAACGTTGCTATAGGGACCGCGGCGAGTTTTCCGGCTAAACAGTAAAATAAACCGTGGCCGACGCGGCGGCGGTCTAGGAGGGGGCCCGTTTATTTGGCGGGCCGCGGGCGGGCTCACTGYAGTGCACACACATGAGCACAGTAGCGTCTCTTGTACCTACACTTGAGCCGTCCACAGTGGACAGTCCACTACGCGCTCAACGCAGCCCTGTCGAAGGAATGCGACTGTCCGAGTTCAGGTACACCCTGGTGCTGGTCGTCCAGCTGGCGCTGCTCGCCGTCGACCTGTTGTTCAACACGTTCATCCACCGGTACTTGGCCAACACGGGCATTTCGATTTTGCTCTTCGTGTGAGGATGACGAAAATATTATATTGTTCATGTGAAATGTAATATTTTAAGTTTAATTACGTTAATCGATTTTGTCGTTTCGTGTGTTTTATCGCAATATTTTAGGCTGCAAGACATAGGTCAACTGGTCGCCATCGCCGTGTTGCTCATCACGTTCTTCCAGACCAATATATTCCAGGTGACACATAATCGAATAATATATATCGCTAATAGTGCTGGTAATGATAAAATTAACCATAAAACCCAAAAATGTTTTTATGCTCTGAAAATTCAATACAATGCATTCACACTTTTTTTTTATTTTAAATAAGTTTAGAATATATTTTTATTGAATTTAATTAAAAATTGTTCAACCTTGCAGGGCAAAACAATTTCAAATCTACGCATGAAATTTTTACATGAAAAAGTTATTCTCATTTAATTTTCCATCACTATACACACRTAATCARAGGTGTTCCCATAGGGTATACTACATAATATGTCATATATACCTACGACGTATACTCTCAAGATTTTTTTTTTCAATATWATCGGTGTACATATGCTTATTATGCTCTCAATCATAATCGATGGTACATTATGCCATTATAATACAATATTTGTAAAGATTGACGAAGTGCACGTCATATAAAGAAGATATATAAAAAATCTGATTTAATTTTTTTCCATATCATTGAAACGCTCTTTACTGGCTTTACTCGAATAAACCATAAGAAAAATAATTTTATTGTATTTAATGTTTATATTTGATGATATATTGATATATTATAGTATATTCCCAAAAATAATTATGGGAACACCTGCACGTAATATCGATTTGTATGTCGTACGAAACCGTTCCAAAAATTACGACTAATAATATTCGATTAGGTTAGTCCTTAACAGTTACTTTTATAAGCAAAATTATTATAATTACAATTAAAAACAGATTTAGTGATAAATTTCATAAAAACCTCAATATGCTTTAGGATAGTGGTATTTTGATTGCTATCAACCACGAGATATTTTTTATTTGATTTTATACAAAATTATATTTTTCTATCATTTTATTTGTGTATTTATATTTTATATTTTATTATGGCGTATTAAGTAAGTGGGCGGTACCTAGGCCACAACGTTTTTTTTTTAAATAATTGTTGGCGGTCCATCGTCCATCGTTCATACAACTAAAATGCAAAATAAAACTTCAAATTTTTATTCAAAATATATGAAACGTAAACGATGTTATGAAACGCGAGTATCGCATATAGCTTAGGAAAATAACATGCAAAATATTACGAAGTGCGTCGAAATCCCGCCTTACAACTATTGTTTAACTTACTCGAGGGAGMACGTGAAATATGTATTATAGTCATATTTTTGTAATATTCCTCTGCAGGCCGGTTTCATTGTGTTACTGTTCAACGAGTTCCGGTCGACTATCATCACCGGCGTCGGTTATTTTATACTAACCCTGTTCGTGCAGGTGTGGACTCTGACGAACCGTTTCAAAGGGCAGGTGTACTTCTACTGGCCGGACGGACTTTACGTGGTTTTTGTTCTCCACAAGTTCAGTAAGTTATTTAACCATATCAAAAAAAACGCCAACATGGTGATAATTTATTATTATTACAATCTACTCAGTTTTTTGAAAAGCTTCAAAACCATCCGATCAAATAATATTTGGTCCACATAGTTTATATAATAGATAGGTTAGGTTCAGATATGAGATAGGTGTTCAGTGAATACGTTGTCTCGTTGTCAGTGAACTTTTTGTTTACGTAAACATAAAATCACAAATTCACAACTACCTACTTTATCTTGCCAGGTACCCAGGCAATTAATTTAAATTTTAAGTAAACAAATTACAAACGCTATACGCTACATTCTCAAGCAGTATTTACTTTTAAAATAACATATTTTTTCCTTTTTAGATAAAGTRRACATGTRATATTTCCGGTTATTGAGTACCACCCACATCATATTTTTGGCCCTAGTATAGAACTAAATCTTGGCCCCTTTTAAGTAACAATTAATTTTGAAACGTTTTTCTAAAATAAGTAATTATTTGCATAAACGCCGGGCTCTAAGTACCATAAGTCCTACTGAACCCCTCCCTTATGGGGGCCCTAGGTACCATACAAAATTATTTTATTTGTCAAGATTACATTAATACAAAGACTTTTATTATTTGTATAATTTGTACAGTAGAAATAAACTATCTACTATTATAAATAATATAACAATATTTGAGTGTTTTAAGGTTTCCAGTACTATAATATGATTATTAAAATAATTTTAAATTAATTAAAAATATATATTACATATATAATTTTAATTTTATGATCGGCCAGAAATGGTTGGAAATCAAATTTAATAAATAAACATTACTCAGGTAATCATCTAGATTCTAGACCAACGGTCGGCAACTGGCAGACTGCGGTCCGAATCCGGACCGTGGAACACAGAGAGCCTCCGGACAGTTGACATGTCTTAACATTTTTTCTTCATATTACTATTATAAAAACATAAAGATTTGGCAAACATTTTTTTCACCAAACCTCATTTATTTATTATTTTAATCTTACGGACTCCAATAGAAATTACTTGCCAACCCMTGATCTAGACTATAGCATATTAGAATATAGTTAAGGTAGTAGTAGTCAGTAAGTATAAAATACAATTTGAGATGACAATTATTGTGATATAGAAACAATGCTGATATCATGTATGCCATGGTACTAATTAGTTAGGTACTTAGTACCTATAATTTTGTTTAAAGTATTATAAATTAAAAATAACATTTATTTAACAATATGATTACAGCTTCATGCTTGCATTACTACTTGTACAAAAGAACGGCTCTATGTATATCAGATCCTAAATTTTACACCGATGAATGGATTAACCATCGTATWAATCAAGAATCAGATCAGAGAAGTCCTAAGTATTGATAAATGATGAAATTGGATGTATGTAGTATGTTGTTAAGATAGAAATTTATAATAAAGTATGATACAATATCAATCATAGATGGTTGGCAGCTAATCAAAATCACATCAATTTACTCATATGGTAATAACTTTTAATTATAAATTTTATTATTGTTGCCAATGTCATAGGTTAGGTTGAGAAATAGAAATAAAAAGATAACTTTCAAAAGAAAATTAACTTTCACAACAATTCTGATGTTTATTAAAATACATAAATAAAATAAATAAATAAATACATAAATAAATAATAATAATAAATATAAATTTTAAATACATCATAATTTTTTATAAATAAAATAATTTGATCTCTTTATTTCTTTTAAATAAATATGTTTATTATACTTTTTAGTCTTGATTGGTAAGCACAATCAGTACTAATAATTTATAAATTAAGATTTTTTAGTTCTATCGTTGGGCTTATAAAATATGGTTGGTAAAATGGTAAAAAGTAATAAGTATTCAAACCATATAAATCGAATACATGATGTACACAATATATTTTATGGGAATACTACTGGACTAACATATATGGTCAACTTTACCACTCAAAAATAATTTATAATAAATTATATAGTCAATTCCTTATTAAAATAAAAAGTCTACCTTAAAATTTTTAAGAGAAAAAGTGCAGATAAATACTTTTGTTAAAATAGAATCATAAAAACATAATTATTCACAAACATTTGTTGTATTTTTGTTAAAATAAAAATCACTTATCAGAGAAAAATGATCTGATGGATAAGTCATAGAGGGTACTCTATTTTCACCAATGTCTATTTCTTTTGGCATGTCTAATATGTTACTAACAGTTAATTTATGTTTAGTGTAAAACATGTAATCAATGGTATGCATAACTTCGCCTTCACCTCCCCGAATCTTCCAAGAGGTATACAGCGGCTCTGAGCCAGACAACTTATATGCACTATCTAGTGGTAAATAAGAACAACTGCACATGGTACTGTAAACTGGTTCTGTAGGTTCTGCATTGAAATCACCACAGACAATTGTTGGACGGTCAGCAGCATGGGAAGATATAAATTGTAACAAATCTTTTCCTTGTTCGTTTCGCAAGGTGGATAGTAATGCTCCTTTTCGAGCTTTTAGATGAGTTGTGGAAACACATAATTCTTTTTGTGTACTTTTATCTTTAAGTACCAATAGTAATGACACCTTAAAAATGTACAGTATTAATTAATATACTTGAAAAGTTGCTATTTTTAAATATTTGTTTTTTACCTGATTGCTGTGCACTGTCCATACTTGCAGTACTTTATCGTGTTTTTCTAGTAAATCAAACTTATCATTTTTGTAAAATATTGCGCAACCATCAGGTCCATTATTATCATTTATATACACACATGGTGAATCTGGTTTAGGTACAAATAGACCACTATAAGATTGCGTAGCTAGAGCTCTGCTAAGAAAATCAAAATGATCAACTTCCTGCATAAAAAAAAAAATAAATAATAATTAGTTTTATGCATTTAATTTTGTTATTTCTTAATATTACCTGTAAACAAATAATATCGGGATTATGTCTTAGAATTTCTTCAAGCATGTGACATCTTCTATGTTTCCATTCTAAGGCTTCTAAAGGACAACTGTCAAACCTATCGTTATTCTGTCCAAGTGCTGAAATAAAATTTGTAAAAGAATTACTGTTGATAATTATTATAATAATGATAAAATAAGAAAAATTTCAAACTATTAATCATATAAGTACCTTGTGACAAAATGTTCCATTGAAGTATTCTTACAGGATTCCCTTCAATACTTTCTGGGTCTACACAAATATATTTTTAAATTAAAAAGTAATTGTTTGTTAAAGGCAATAATATTATTTTGAATTATTCAATCACACATTTAGATAAGAAAATTAGTTTTTTTAAGTGTAATCCCAATAATGATAATAATATCATACAGCTATATTTATCTATTAAAATTGTATGCAACTACCTAGGTATTAGAATAATATAATTTTTTAATAAAAAATATGGATTTTATTTTATTTTGATTACATTTAAATTGAAATAGTTGGTTTAGATAATTCAATAGAAGTATGTAAATTATTTTGTTTTAACTGTTTTTATCTTACTCATTAACTAATCATTAACAACATGGAAAAAAAACTAAAAATAKCTTATGTTTATAACAACAATTTAACATGAAATATTACTTTAGTAAGTAGTAAATACTAAATACTAGCACAAAATTGAATTGCTAATACATACTATGATATAGGAATAATATAAGTTAAAGGCAATTATAATATTATTTAATAGCATGTAAAACCAACCATATGGGATTGTCGAAAATGTTCTTTTTATGAGTTGTGAGTTAGACCATTGATTATTTTGAGCACGGCAATATTCGAGTAATTGTTGACAGGTCACAAGATTGTCAAAGTTTAGATCTTTGTCTTGGGTATCTTCATTGTCAATTTTCACACTAGATGTAAAACTTCCCATCCTGTAATAGTTTATTAATAATGAATATAAATAAAATATGTTTAATATAAATTTGGTGATCACCTATTTAATTATATTTACTTAAAGGTAATTTATCAAATTGAGTTTAGAAAAAAAAAATGGTCTACAGGTTATACAATTGTTTCTATGGAATCAATATACTTCTAGTCTATAGCCTACTACAATATTAATAAACAATTGTGTGGTAAGGCATTTTTAATGGAAAAGGTATAATATGTTATATATGCACTTGGAATAAAATATATATTTTGTTACTATACACATACCAAACTATAAACAAAAAATATTTCCAAAAATATATATAATTTTCTGTAGAAGACAAAATAAAAAAAATGAGCAAAATTTACAATCTAATTATGAAAGAATCCCTGTGGTACCTAAAACCACAGTTACTGTAGACAATAGACATATTTGGCTAATATTAGGCGATTGATGTCAGTCGTTTAGTCGTTACTTGTTTGGGGGCATCATAAGCATCTGCAAAGCGGACTCTTACCAAATATATTTTAACATAGTCGTTGCTCTCGTCTTGACAGACGCTTTAGACCCATCACCGTTAATGCTAGAGGAACAGAATTTCTTTGGCCCCAGTTTTCGTGGCGGCACGAGGGCGGTGGTGCGTACAATCGGTCTAATCATCGTGTACGAGTTTCAAACGTAAAAAATTACAAATTGTTTTCACCTACCTACGATGACTACTGACCCAGCGACATATCGGAAAAAATGAAAAATGTAAGTTTATGTCTCGGAACCCAAAGCCATGGGGCCGTAAATACCGAATACGTACAATGTTTCTTGTGTGAAATTCTCTGCGCACCGCAAGTAGTACATAGTGTCAGAACGCAAACGGCCAAATATCCGCTATTCGGTAGGACAACACTTTCCCCCTAGGGGGGAGTGTGTGTGCGCGCGCGCGCACCGTTTCAAGTGTGTCGAGAATAATAATGTCAAAATATAATATAACGCAATAATAATAATAATATAGTGTAGTAACGACGAGCAAAAACAAACAATCGACAACGTGAAAAAACCGTCCGCATAGAATGTCAATAAAATAAAAACGGGGAAGTAACGAGACAACGTTATCACGTCACGGTGATAACGTCGTCATCGGACGGCGCGCCAGCCGCGGAACAACCTACGACATAATAATGGTATTATAACACAAATATATATATATATACAAAGGTAGATAGGTACCTACACAATACAACATTATACGGGTTATGAACTCCGCCAGGCTGACGCCGCGAACGGTATCAGCTGCCGAGGTAATTTATTGTTAACAAATAATTTGTTGTCAAGCCGGTAACCGCGACCTATTCAAACGCGTCGAACGAGAACAGTCGGAACAGGTCCTGGACGTAGATGAGTCGCGGAACAGCTGTAGGCAGCAATATTGCTACGGGCCAACGACTTTGTCCACAGCTGGTTGATAACAATTTTAGCGTAATTTTTAACAAGCAATGCTTRTTTTTGCAWAGTATTATTAAATTATTTTCGACRTTAGTTTAAATGAATTCGTAGCTGATATATTATATTTTTTATTTTGAACAGTGGAGGAATCTATTGTGGGTTAGTCAATATTTCAAATCAGATTTTACATAATATAGCTAGAGTATAATATATAGACATTATAGATTAAATTTGAACATTATTTAAGATATTTCAGGGAGGAAGCTTATTATCATATTAAATACTTTTAAAATGTATTAGTTTTTCATAATCTACATCACCTTCAATAGCTGTACTTACAAGTATATTGTATACATYAGTGAATTTATATCACTGGATAAGTTTGTTTTACACCATTTCACGAACTCAATAACAATTCTTGACGATGAGTATTTCCCTATTTTTGAAAGCATAACTTAAGAAGTACCTATGGCCTATTTTTAAATGATGGTTTACGCTATACGCTGTAATACGAAATTCGTTTTAGGTGGTATATAAATATACAATATTATTATTAAACATATATAGCGACAACGAGTAACGACTAATTTGGGACATTATTTTATTAATTATTCTACTTCCTCTTTTATAGGTATCTAATCTCGAGTATTATCCGATTAGCTTTGATGTTTTTTCAACSGGCTGTAACAATAATAGTTTATGTTTATCAGCATTGTGTCCAAGCCCAAATTAAGGGGGGGGGGGCACGTTGCAGGGGATAATTGATTTTAGTTGCCCACATCTCATTCAACAAAAATATTGTTTTTAATACACTCATTACAAAGAAATTTCAAAAATAAAATAAAAAATGTCCAAGAAAAATTACTGAAATGATAAATTTATATATCAACAAGACATAAAGTTAATGATTATTTTAGTGAAAATGCGAGTTGAGAACTATTTCAATGTATTATCCTTATGTAGATTATAGGTATAGTTGAAGGGGCTAATGTAAGTTACCACATGAGATATARCAGGTAAAAATTACCCCTAAAATGCATACGTAAATTTCTACACAAAAAAATAATATACTAGTACGTAAATTCCCACACGGAAAATAATATACTAGTTCTTTTAATATACATCTAAAGTAATATTATAAACATCATTATTAAAGATATATTATGTTAATTACTACACGAATAAAAATTATAATTTTATAACATTATTTTTTTAAAGTTGTATTCAGATATTTTGTTTTTGATATAATTTCGTTTTCTTCGTTTTTTTTTACTTATTTGTTGAGGTTAGGAAAACAGATGTTTTTAGTCCCAAAAAAAATTTTCAAGGTATAAAAATACAAAATAGTAACAATTGTATAAAATTATAGTGTTAAAATAATGATTACCTACTGGTATATAAGCACAGAATATTCATTGGTTTAAGACATATTTTAATATGCGTTCATGTATACGAATTAATATAAATCTTTAAAAAAAAATAACAAATACAGCCAGTGAGGGGCCATGGCCCTTATGCCTCCCCCCGGACATGTCACTGTTTGTGACCCAATGTCTCTTTAATCCGAGTATATAATATAGTTTATAAGATTATATATTGTTACAACACTTAAAACCATRGTATCCAATTATTTTTTCAAATATTTGTATAATTATTATGTTTTGATTTTTAAAAAATTAAAGAACGTTACCTATGTAAAGGTTAAGAACCATAAGATGCACGATCATTATATAATAAAGACRAAGTTCACGTTTTTGTTGATGTATTAAAATATCATATTATGTGATATCTGTGCGATACGAAAAAAGACAAAATATTATTGCCCTGATTATAGTGATTACCTATATAAGTTCTCTACGTTTTAGATTCAAAAAGAAGTGATGAATGTATTGATTTTACAATGATGTGTGTTTTTTTTTTTTGTGTCTGTATACACCATAACTAGTCGAAATAATGCTTCGATTTTAAACTTTGGGGGTGGTTTCCGATGCACAAGTGAATATCCTT